GGAGCCTTCCTTATTCTTGTGTGCTCAAGAGCTGCCTGCTCCTCTGGACTGCAAGAACGTCTTGAAAAATGAATCACTCCTCCTGAAGATCTACTCCAAAAGTGAGTTCTCTTTTTATCCTGCCACTCATCACCCGACCCCTTTCCCCTCTGTTCCCCATAATGAAACCTTCTTTTAAACTCATTTATACATTTTTTTATTTTGCTAGAGCACTCTTTACCTGTATTTTGGTGTATTCTGGCTATTTCTCACTCAACATAGAAGACAACTTCTCATTTTAAGTGTGGAGTCCTGAACAATATCCTCTTAGTCATATGCCTTCTTTCAAGGCCTTTCTGAAATATTTTTTCTGTGCCTGAAAGCCAGTGGAGGGTTGCACTGGAACTATAATGGCTGAGACCAAAGCAGAGTGGTGTAGCTGTCTATTAACCATTTGGTACCTCAAGTTTATCACTTGGATGAATAAATAAGTTGTCATTTGCCCATAGGTCCCATTCTTGAGTGGTAATGGGGAGCTCTGTAGCTCATCTTCCCTATCCTTGTCATTTAGAACAATTTCTTCTAAGAGTATTTAATTAATTAATTAACTCAATTAAATACTTCAATGTTCAATTCAATCTGATTTTTCCTAAGACAGTTAATTCAACAAATAGTTATTAAGCTATGGAAAAGACTGACAATTTTCTGTCTTCTCACAGATGTCTAAGATCATCTTGCAAGTTGACCCCCATTTTACTATTTCACCACTGAAGAGAGCTGTCAACTGTAAACACTGTTTAAGCTTCTTTTAAATCATTTCTGAAAATATTTAGTAAGCCAGTGTCTTATCCTTGATAAGAATGCCCCCACCTCTAGCCACTGTGATGGTTAATTTGATGTGTCAACTTAACTGGGCCATGATGCCCAGATACATGGTCAAATGTTATTCTGGATGTTTCTGTGAAAGTGTTTTGGATTAAATTAACATTTAAATCCGTGAACTCTGAGTAAAACAGGTTGCCCCCTATAGTGTGGTGGGCCTCATTCAACCAGTTGGAAGCCTGAATAAGACAAAAAGACTGACCTCCCCTAAACAAGGGAGTATTCTGCCAGCAGACAGCCTTTGGACTTGAACCCCAGCATAGGCTCTTCTCTAGCTCTCTAGCCTGCCAGGGCCCCTCCCCCCCTGCAGATTTTGGGCTTGTCTGCCTCCATAATCATGTGAGTGAATTTCTTAAAATAAATCTCTTTACACACACACATATCCTATTGGTTCTGTTTCTCTGGAGAATCCCTATTAATATACCCCCATTCACTATCAAGGCTTTTGAAGTAGAAGATTCCATCTTGGCAGAGCAGGACAATTTAGGCAGGGCTAGGAGTTTATTGGAGATTCTGACTAAAGACCTACAGGCAGAAGGGAAGAAGGAACACTGTGGAGGTCTGATCCATAACTGGGCATGTGACATGGGGGCGGGGGGAAGAATTCTTGGGAGAGCTAAGGGAGAGGAGTAGCTTCTTATAATGGTATCCCAGAAGCAATCTAAGAAATCATATAGGTCTCCAAGAAGGTCTCAATAATTAATGCTATTTAATTAATTAAATTTAAAATGTGTTAAAGTTTGATTTTAAGGTTCCTTTGTGTATTTTTTGTGTATTACTCATTGAATCCATTTCATCCAAGACCATAGGAAGCTGAAAGATTGCCAACTTCACATTAAAACTATTCTTATCATATTGGTGTTGAAGTGGTGCTTGGGCACACAGTATCTACCCTATTTTCTAGCATTGATTCCAGTCCTTATGGCTCACAGAAAGCAGTAAAACTTTTCTTTTCTCAAAGAGCCCATACAGATATGCCCCAGTTTATGCAGTAAATGGGCTCCTGCAAATATATGTTGCATACCTTTGTGAATTGCTTTATATATTGAAGACACATTAGAGGAGTTGGCTATTTCAAAGAAACTTTGCAAGTATCTCTGTTTTTTAAATGTCATAAGCCATTCTGATTTAAGATCATAACCTCTCCCTAATGTATTAGCTCATGAAGTTCCATTTTGTGCTTAAGAGGTTTAATTAAAGTAAGCTAAAACTATACTTAATAACATTCAATTGCCTGAAAGAGTTATTGTAGAAATGCCTAATGTATTACCAGAAAGTAGTTTCATGTCTTGAATAAATGCCAAGTTGTCCAAATCAAACTGATTGACAACTTAATTAGGAATAAATGTAACTGCTATCCATATTTTTCTCTATTTTCTCAAAAGAAAACATTCACACAGTGAAGGGAATCAGAATCTGTTTTTATATCCCTAGAGTTATAAACATTTGTATCAAAATATTTACAATTATAGTATATGAAATATCAACCTATTAAAGAAAAAGCCAAATACAGTACTAGAACAACCCACCAATGTAATGCAAGTTACATGAGACATAAATGGCACAGAAACAAAATAAAAGACATAGGAATACATGGTTCACTCCAGTCATAGTTTGACTTTTTAACATAATGTGATTATCTCTTTTGGATATATCTGATATGTAAGTATGCTTCTGCATATAACACGGCCTTCTATAATCATGTAATAATTAAATGATAATTAAAAAGTTTATTATCCCATAGTTTTTGCTTCCCCACCTCCCTACCTACAGCCCAGAGAATTCTGTAGTCTGTCCTCAACATTCCCTTAACCAGAGTGAACAAAGAGAAATATACTTAATAAGTCCTTTTACATAAATACCAGCAATCATGGCATGACAACTCCCCAAAAAAGAAAAGTATATAAGAAATGGGATGAGGAGAGAGCTAGGAAAAGAAAAGTAGGCAAGATGTCTCAGATTCTCCCTAGGGTAGATCTTCTTAGGGTGATAAAGGAAATGGCTTCCTAAAATAAACCCTTTAGGCAGAATCTGAGATGGCTTAAAATAGCTGCTCCAGGCCAGAGCAGTGCCCGCTTAACAGGGAGTAACATACTACTTATAAGTCCTATATAGAAATGCTCTGTGGCAACAGACAGATCAATTACCATCTGACTGGGCACCACAAGAGTTTGTGTGTGTGTGTGTTTTCCTTAAAGAAACTATCTGCCCATCACCTATATTTTTATTTATCTCACAGAAATTTTCTTATTTTCCTGGGAGCACAGGCACTCTTCTTATCATCACTTAAATCTAGGATGACTTAAGTCTAACACTTTGCAATGACACAGCACCTTTCACCCAAGGGCCTGTTGTTTGGTTTTGGTTTGTGTGTGTTTCAATAAGCTTCCAGAAGTGTTTTGCCTCACCCATGAAGCAGGATAGGCAGGTTTTCTGGAAAGGTGACCACTCCAGCCAGTTTCAAAGCCAGAGTTGCCACTGAGCCTAGGAGTCCTGGTCCCCAATATGGATAATTAGATAAAACATTCTGAAATTTTTATAATTTAGAGGGAGAGTAACAGATTGTGTTACAAGGAGCTATGTCCGTCTCTCTCTCGTTATATACTTAAAAGAATCACTGACTGCATGGAGAGGGAATCCTAAAATCATAACCCTAATATAGCATTGTTGCGAGACTGCCCCGTGATCCCATAATTTGTGTGTTGCTTTCACCACAGAATTGGTCATTAGTGGCTTTACAGAAACTCCAGAAGAGCTGCCTTGGCTTTAAGCGAGAGGCCTAGCGAAGTCCATAGCAAGAGGTCTCTGTGAGGGACAGCTGTGTGAGGTCTGGTCTGGGTTCTGACCATCTCCCCAGGCCTTCCATGGTGAAAACTTCTCTTTCTTGATTTAACTAACCCACCAACTTGGCTTCATGACTATATCCCTTCCTACCATTTTTGTCACAAATACCACTGAATCCCACAGAGCTGGATATCTGTTCTAAAGAGAATAATTGCTCGCGGGCTAAAGCCTCCTGTGGGCTCTTCAGACTGGAATGCGATGTTTTGCTTTGGGTCAGGAGGGTGGGATGGCTTCCAGGGTTAGCATATTCAGTACAAAAACAATATCTGCCCTTGCCGGAACTTGTACCGCTATTTTAACTTGGTGCAGTAGGTCTGAGCACCACAGTGCAAAACCTAGAATTCACCCTCGGAAGTGGAACCAGTGGTGTGGCAGCTGGTGGGGGCCCCGGGCAGCATGTGTAACTGAGAACAGCTGGAGGCCAAGTCTGGTGGCTGGAGAGAGGCTCTCTGGCCCACATCAAGGGAGCATCGAAGTTCTAGCCAACTTCTTTCTCCTAGGGCAGGGTCTCGGCAGTAGAGAACCTCCTGAGTAACTGTTTGGGTTTCAGCCTCTCCCACCCTCATGTCCCCCTCCCCCCTCCCCTGT